AGCCATAAGCATGGATCAGCAAGTTGATCAGGTATGGTTTACATACATACGTATGTATATTGATGCATTTCAAAAATCTTGTTCAACCTGCTATTTTTTGGAAAATTAATTTAAGGTTCTACCCACTGACGACCGTGGCCTATACGAATCAGCACTCGGGCCAGATGAAGTACCTTGCATATTAAGTGCCTATCCTGTACGTAGCCGTCAGCCGGTCACCTTTCAATCGTCGAGCCGTCAAGCGAATCGGGATGTTTGGAGCAAATTTACTGTCGCACTTAAGATGTCGCCTGGCAGCAAAGTGGCAGACATTATTGCATTCGTTGAGAAATGGAATGGTCAGGCTAATTCTTCAATGCATTAAGCCACAATTAGAGAGTTGTATGTATCCTCAAAGGCTACAGTGTAGTTTTTTTTTGAGATTCTCATGTCAAAAAATTTATATCAAACTATTTGCACATTAATAAAAATACAGTTTTTTCGAAAATTGTATGTACATACATACATTAGGGTAGTCCAAAAATGCATGTGAAGAAGTAAAGTCGGAAAGTCCTCATAACACCGTACTACTTACCTTCACTAGTTCAGGTGGCCGTCGAGGAAATAAAAGGCTAAAAGTCATTTGTCCTGCTGAGGCTGTGAGAGTAGGCTTTCACCAAAGTCGCCTAAGTACTAAAGTTGGGACGGCTTGCCAACAAATCGCAGTGCTTAGTGCGATAGCTCTATCATAGAAATGAAGATACTTCTGTGTGGTTAACTGTAGTTTTTGCGAGTCAAGTGTTCCAAAAGCATTGGGCTTGCTGAAAGTCTTCGACGCCGTTTGTCACTCCATACCACTGGGAGACATTAAGCCCTCCTCTTTTCATTAGTAACTCATACGGTGGATGGCAAATTATCTGAGTGGTTGGAAATTCTTAGTGACACTTTGATATCAAACATCAAGACCCAGAAGGTTTAAACGGATAGTTTGGTCGAGTTCAACAAAGCACGCCAGTCGTTTCATTGCTGTGCCAATTGGAAATTCCAAGTGAAGCCAAGTCCTTCTACACTTGGTCTTTCCATCGCAGCTTCGAACGACAGGTCGTCTATCCCGATCATTAGCAGTTTACCCGCCTTCTTGCTATTCATTCCCTCATTTTAAGCTATTATGAGGTTTAGTAGCTTCTGCGTAGTAACGACGTCATCTATCATATATCGTTAATTGCACACCTTACCAGCCCGTCAATTTCGTCAATTTTCCACTTACATACCGCTAATTTACCTAAATAGTGTCATTATCCAAAAAATTAAAATATTGAGTTAAGCAAGCAGAAATTACCGCTACCTTTTCTCGTTTTTGATTTCTCGAGTTTGCCTTTTTGAGTTATGACACTATTGAAGTAAATGAGCGATATGTATTTATTTGAGCCGCTCAATTAAACTAGCCTATGTCGGGATAGGACCCATTCTATTCAAAAAAAAACTTTTAATTCGCTTTCCAAACAATATTTGAACATTTAACTAGCCATACATATAGTCCAAGATGCCCTTTCAATGTAAGCCTAATAAAAATAAAAACATTTCCAAGGGGAACTGATTATTTTTTAATGCAAAGTCGAACCTTTTAAATCCGATTAAGCTACTTTAATTGAACGACACAGTATGTACTTGAATATGTAAGAAACGCCCTCACACCTAGCATACAAAAAAAAGTAAGTGCGCCTTGGCCACACTGGAGAAGTGAAACTTACATACATATCTTTTTTGTTTCATAGCCAATATATGTACATTCATACATCTGCTTCTGCTTAAGGTTATATTTTTTGTCTTTTTTCTATCTAGATCCCCACCTCTACCCCTGTTCGTTCTAGTTACATTTATATTATCCTGTTTTCTTTTATCTTTATTTTTATCTTTATAACTCTATAGATAACAAAATCGAAAGTAACATCCAATGAAATATCGATAACAAAACCGATAAAAATATAGATAACAAATCGAAAACCTCGATAAAAATTTCGATGGCAAAATCGATAATAATATTGGTAGCAAACTCTATTAGAAACTCGATAAAAATATCCATAACAAAATCGATAAAAAATATCGTTTACAAAATCGATCAAAATATTCACAACAAAATTGATACCAAAATCAATAAACATCGATACCTAAATCGATAAACATCGATAACAAAATCGATAAAGATCAATAACAAAATCGATAAAAATATATAAAAATATCCATAAAAATCGATAAAAATGTCGATAACAAAATCGATAAAAATGTCCATAACAAAGTCGATAAATATCGATAACAAAATCGATAAATATCGATCAACGAAAATTGATAAATACCGATAACAAAATCAATGAATATCGATAACAAAATCGATAAACATCGACTACAAAATTGATAAATATCGGTAACAAAATCGATATTACATCGAAAAGTTCCGAAAATATCGATAGCAAAATTGATAATATCGATAAAAATTTCGATAAAAATATATAAAAATCTCGATGACAAAATCGATACAAAAATCGATTATTTTATCGGTAAGTCCAGAGAATCCCGAAAAGCTCTAAAATCACCAAATAATTTCCAAACTGAGTCTCTGTGTCTCCCCTATATCCTTTCCTCTTTAATTACCTTTATTTTAATCATTCTTCCCCTATCTTCATCTTTA